GATTTTCTCACAATTTTTTTATTGTGTACTTAGAGAAGAAAACTGCTAAAATAATTGATACTATTTTCTCATAAATCATGTGATATAAAAGAATGTCGAATAATAAGATCATAATCGACCAAAAAGTACGTCAAATACAACTTTGATAGACGACTAATAGAATGCTTAAAAAAAAAAAATATTCTTGTGGTTCATTTCAATTTTTTTCTTTGTTTATAGTATAGGTACATATTTTTTATTGATTTGAGATCATTTATATATTGAAATATTGAATCAAAAAAGTATAAATATAGTTCACGTTGTTGATGCAAGTTTATACACATAAAATTTCGCCCCCCCTCAACATAAAATCCTGCTTCATGCGCCAGACTTGTTTAATTAATCAATTGGTAAAATATCGACCAAACACGAAATGAACTTGGCTAAACACCATTAAACACCATACGCATCAGCCATAAATAAGTTGAATACACTTCGATATCATACAACTGATACTGACATAACTCATTAACAGCCCTAGCAAAAAGACTTTGTAGCTCAGACGTCCTTCTTGAGATTAACTTATAAGATACATTTTTTTATGTGGAATCCTCAGCATATGTCAACTTCTAGAGAGATTCTGAGAGACAACATAAACAGTTAGGTCTTTTTACTACATAAATTGACACCTTCATGGATTGAAGCAACTTAGAATGTAATTCATTTAACCTTAAGTTAATGAAGGTTGTAGCATTTAGGATGTGAGAGTTGCAAAAATATATTTGTTTTCTTCGGTATCAGTATTTATTAAGGACAAAATGATAACGATTTATTGAATTTTTGGATTGAAGATTAGGCGAAAATTACTAAGCTCGGCTTTGGAATATTAAAGACTGAGTGTTTTCCTTTGTGCATGTTCCCAATCACTAAATATACAAAAGAGAATTGAAAGGGTTTTGGATTTTGTTTTACTTGTGCTTCGGATGTGCTTGGAGCGGAGCGCAGTACAGAAACTTTCATTCAAACTGTAAGAATTCAAGTTATGTCGATTCTTCCATTTGTAGTTGTTGTGATAGTCAAATTAGTGGCATAATATCTGCATGTTCATGTATAACTAAACAAGAATTTATGAACTCAAACATTTGGAACTCGAAGAAGGGAGGAAGCAAAAATCCACATGTTTTGAATTCAAGTCACCTTGTCCATGTAACAGTAATCAGGTTTAACCGAGTTGCACAATTTACAGGTGATGGCATGAATGTAAGATTTGCGTTGCAACTATAACTACGAAGAGATGATTTCATGTTACTTAACACAAAAGAGTTTATCAGAAATGATACTATTTTTTTGTTAATGGGGTTCATTGTGAACCGAGTACGATGCTGTCTTCACAGAATGAGGTTCCTTGTGATGTTCCTCTTTCCCAATTCCATGAAGGAACACAAACAGAAATTGTCCTCACACTATAGAAGGAATGTACAATCTAGTTCACAAGATTTTTACATTGTACTTGGCAAAGTGACAAATATGTCTTCTGTGAAGCAGACTACAAATTACAGTAAGGTGTGTTTTAAGTGAAAATTTTCATAGTTCTTAAGTTTTAGTACTATATAATCCACCCCCTTCAGCAAAATTTCTAGAAATGTACCAACTACCAAGGATTAGTCAGGTGTCGAAGAATTGCATGAATTCTTTTAGACAGTAAAGCTAGATCCTTTGGCATAATCTCCTGAGATATGGTCTCTGAAGTCTCAACATGTCCATTTGAAAAGCAGTAAATTTGATTTTTTTTTTAACATTCAACGATGTATCAATGATGTAATTCGTATTCACACTAGCTATAGAGGAGATATATCCGTATTAAACTTTGGATATTATTAATATGTGTAGGGTAAGAGCAAAAGGGAGAGCACCTACGGAGGTTTAGGGGAGATAATGGATAGAGAGACAAAAAAGAGAGCATCAAAAAATAGACACGAGAAACTATCGTGCCTTTGATAAGACTTAACCCCTCAAACCATCTATTTGCAAGTACCATCACGGGTGGCGATGGACTAGACTAAAACCGAAGAAGTCGAATACAATGAATTAAACACCATCAATCTGGGTCCTTAAAAATGTGAATCATACCACATCATACAGAAATAAATGAACCAAATACCATGAATCGTTTTCTTTTGTGGATGTGGGCGATAACTCCCTCAACCTCATTCGAATCCAATCTTTAAATTATCCTTATACCTTCTCCAAACAATTTTTTGAGCTCCACATAATCTAATATTTTTTTTTCGGTTAAATATGATGATTTCATTAATCACGATACATCCAAAAAACCAAAACAGAGGAAAGGGCAGGCTAACCATCTGATTTTAAACAATCCTGCCATCCATACAATACAACCAACCTAAAGGATAACATATTCATACAGAAGATCTACACAAAATCTTATATTGCTTCCTTCATCTGGATATAACTAATCGCACAATTCCTTCCCCCATAAACCAATGAACGGTCGCGTGGGAACGACTTTGATATGAAAGGATACAAAATATAGAGTGTTTTTTTTTTTTTTTTTNGTAAGATTTGCGTTGCAACTATAACTACGAAGAGATGATTTCATGTTACTTAACACAAAAGAGTTTATCAGAAATGATACTATTTTTTTGTTAATGGGGTTCATTGTGAACCGAGTACGATGCTGTCTTCACAGAATGAGGTTCCTTGTGATGTTCCTCTTTCCCAATTCCATGAAGGAACACAAACAGAAATTGTCCTCACACTATAGAAGGAATGTACAATCTAGTTCACAAGATTTTTACATTGTACTTGGCAAAGTGACAAATATGTCTTCTGTGAAGCAGACTACAAATTACAGTAAGGTGTGTTTTAAGTGAAAATTTTCATAGTTCTTAAGTTTTAGTACTATATAATCCACCCCCTTCAGCAAAATTTCTAGAAATGTACCAACTACCAAGGATTAGTCAGGTGTCGAAGAATTGCATGAATTCTTTTAGACAGTAAAGCTAGATCCTTTGGCATAATCTCCTGAGATATGGTCTCTGAAGTCTCAACATGTCCATTTGAAAAGCAGTAAATTTGATTTTTTTTTTAACATTCAACGATGTATCAATGATGTAATTCGTATTCACACTAGCTATAGAGGAGATATATCCGTATTAAACTTTGGATATTATTAATATGTGTAGGGTAAGAGCAAAAGGGAGAGCACCTACGGAGGTTTAGGGGAGATAATGGATAGAGAGACAAAAAAGAGAGCATCAAAAAATAGACACGAGAAACTATCGTGCCTTTGATAAGACTTAACCCCTCAAACCATCTATTTGCAAGTACCATCACGGGTGGCGATGGACTAGACTAAAACCGAAGAAGTCGAATACAATGAATTAAACACCATCAATCTGGGTCCTTAAAAATGTGAATCATACCACATCATACAGAAATAAATGAACCAAATACCATGAATCGTTTTCTTTTGTGGATGTGGGCGATAACTCCCTCAACCTCATTCGAATCCAATCTTTAAATTATCCTTATACCTTCTCCAAACAATTTTTTGAGCTCCACATAATCTAATATTTTTTTTTCGGTTAAATATGATGATTTCATTAATCACGATACATCCAAAAAACCAAAACAGAGGAAAGGGCAGGCTAACCATCTGATTTTAAACAATCCTGCCATCCATACAATACAACCAACCTAAAGGATAACATATTCATACAGAAGATCTACACAAAATCTTATATTGCTTCCTTCATCTGGATATAACTAATCGCACAATTCCTTCCCCCATAAACCAATGAACGGTCGCGTGGGAACGACTTTGATATGAAAGGATACAAAATATAGAGTGTTTTTTTTTTTTTTTTTTGTAAATATACGATGGTTATGAACCTGTACAAGGAATGACACTCTAGTGAAAGAACTCAATCTGTCCTTTTGTTAAGAGGCCCATTTGTCTTATGTTGTGGCAATATATTTGCGCACAAGCAATCATTTTGATATCTTATATATAAAAATCATAGGTATGGAAGGATGGGAATGAATGGTAGCCTTCAATCAGTAAACTCTCAGACAAAAACAAATTAGTAATTATAATAACAAAATATTTGTCTCAATCTGCATTTCATGAGCTCAAATTCGACAAAATGGTGGCCGGCTAAGACAGCTTCTTTAACCCTTTCTTTACCTTCACTCAATTCACGAGAAAAAAAAAAGGCATAATAAACTTACGAAAAAGCTTTAAATGTTGCTATGGAATCTTAATAAATGAAATGAACCGAAGGGGCAGAATCTTAAGACATGGTTAAAATGCACTTTTTAATAATGGGTTGGCTTGATTAATTGTATCATACCATAAAATGGAAAATTCACGTGGACACCTTCGATAAAGTACAAGTATATAGGCGCGCGCACGCATACACATGCTTATAACCAAAGGCTCTTCATCTTCTGTGGTCCTGTTGTTCTGAAATGACCTTATAATTAGAGTACTGTCAAACAAAGTTAGAAAAATCATTAGGAGATAATTCAATAATTTTGTCTGAAAGAAATTAAAAATAAAACAATAAAATCATTAAATAAAAGCGTGAATTGTCTGCTAACAAAAGCTCATAAAAAACAGATTTATAAGGGGAAACGCCAGGTAGTCTTGTCATTGTAGTTTTGGATCATGATTTTATTACACGTTGGTTTGGGCTCTTTAGTATATTGATATTTAAAGTAATATATATTTAAAAATTAGATTTGATAATTATAATTATTAATTTTACTGTAGGTCTTACTATTTATTGAGACCTACTATTTATTAGATGGTTGAAATTTATCAAATCTAATTTTTAAGTTTATATAACATTAGTCAAGTATTGGATAAAAAAATTTCTTACTTTCTATATATTGGGCATTAGGTGGTGGGAATATTGTAGTTGTCATCTCTCTCTCTCTCAAAACACAACCTCATTTAAAAGAAGGAAGCTATGGGCACTTCTCCCATACCCAAGAACTTATATTTCTTCATCCTGCATATTCTGATCTAGAACCAGATAAAACCCTAGACTTTCAATCCCATCCACTAATTTCCCTCAAAAGTGTGGTATCAAAACTTCCATAAATTTTGTGCACGTAAAAGCAACAAAACCTTAATTCTTGTACCACATAACAGTCCTCAAAAGCATGAAAACAGAATCAAGAGGAAACACTTCAATTTCTCTACAAGACCCTACCCTCTTCACCGCCCCTCAAAGCTCTCTACCTGGTGCCCTCAGAGGATGTCTCGGCAGCCTCGACGGAGCTTGCATAGAGAAGCTTTTACTTCACTGCGCAAGTGCCTTAGAGAGCCACGATGTGACTTTGGCCCAACAGGTCATGTGGGTGCTCAACAACGTGGCTTCTTCTCTCGGTGACCCAAATCAGAGGCTCACCTCGTGGTTTTTAAGGGCACTCATCTCCAGAGCTTCTAGGGTTTGTCCTACACCGATGAATTTCAATGGCAGCAGTGCCCTTCAACGGAGGTTGATGTCTGTGACCGAGCTCGCCGGATATGTTGATCTCATCCCTTGGCACAGGTTTGGGTACTGTGCTTCAAATAGTGCAATTTTCAAAGCAGTTGAAGGGTATTCTAGAGTTCACATCTTAGATTTTAGCATCACTCACTGTATGCAATGGCCTACTCTTATTGATGCACTGGCCAAGAGGCCTGAAGGGCCTCCAATGCTCCGAATCTCTGTACCTTCCTGGAGGCCACCGGTCCCTCCCTTGCTTAATGTAGGAAGTGAAGAAGTTGGCCAGCGTTTGGCAAATTTCGCAAAATTTAAGGATGTTCCTTTTGACTTCAATGTGATTGAAGACCCTTCTTCCCCCACAACTGTTGCAGCTATTTCTAAAGCATCTTCAGACTTTCACTTTGATTTGCTCTTAAGTAAATTAGACCCTTCTATTTTGAACTTAAGGGATGATGAAGCTTTGGTGATCAACTGCCAAAATTGGCTTCGATATTTGCCTGATGAACAAAATGTTAGTGGGAGTTCTAATGAAACTTGTAATTCTCGTGATGCTTTCCTTGATGTAATTAAAGGTCTTAATCCTCGGATTATAACAGTAGTCGACGAGGATTCAGATTTGGGTGGATCAAGCCTCACATCAAGGATAACAACTTGCTTCAATTATCTATGGATACCTTTTGATGCCTTGGAAACTTTTTTGCCCAAGGATAGTGACCAAAGGATGGAATATGAGGCTGATATTGGTCATAAAATCGAAAATATTATTGGGTTTGAAGGTGTTCAAAGGATAGAGAGGTTAGAGTCTGGATTCAAGTTTTCTCAAAGGATGAAAACTGCCGGTTTTACTAATCTTCCTTTTTGTGAAGAGACTCTTAGGGAAGTGAAGTTCTTGCTAGATGAGCATGCTAGCGGTTGGGGAATGAAGAAAGATGAGGATATGTTGGTGCTAACATGGAAGGGCCACAACTCAGTCTATGCCACAGCTTGGGTCCCATGTGGTTTTGAGGATTCAGGGGTATGACTACAATACCGAAGCCAGAAGTTTCAAGCAAATAGGTTCAAGTGATAACTCTTTAAGATCGAGTTACTTCTCAAAAAAGGTGGAGTAATATTCAGTGGGGGTCAACTTATGTGTCAAAACCTAAATGTTAAGATCGACTCCATTAGGCGTAGGCTCGTCTGATTAGATTGTAATCTCACCCAATTATGTAGTAACTTTTGTTACAATATCAGAAATAATCATATAGTGCTGTAGTCTTGCCAGAGGATTGAGTCCATGTGCACTCAAGTTGGTCTTAAAAATGTACATAGGTAGATTTGCTAAGCCTACCATGAAATGGGTTTTTCATTCTCTCAGTGGTCCAGAAGGAAGAGCAGAGACAAAATAGTGTTCCTTTTTTCTCTGTCTAAAGGCTGCAATGGACATAAACAAGACAAGAGGGTAAAAGGCAGGAGTCTGAGAATAAAATTCATGCCACCTTTGTTATTCGATCACAAGTCCATGGTCACATGCATGAAAGGCATAGAGAGAGAGAGAGAGAGAGAGAGAGAGAGAGAAATGTAACGTATTGTCTTTGTGTAAAGACAAGGTCCATCACTATGTTCTCTCATCTTTTTGCAGGCTTTGTTTTAGGAAATTTGGTGGTAACTAATTAACAACCTAAGCTTTGTCTTTTTTCCAAAGCTAAGCTTTGTTTTATATAATCAATCTACTGATAAGTGTTTTTTTGATAAGTACTTATAATTGATTTACATCATTTTCTTTTCTATCCTTAGAATTCTGTTTTTGATGACAAGTTATCAAAGAAATATGAGTAGTTGAAGGAATACAGTGATTATATATATAGTGGTGAAATCTAAGTAAAAAAAAAAAAATCACGTGAAAGTAATTCGTCAAGAGTACAAATTTTTTCTCTTTGTTGTTCATGCGCTGCCCTAAATTATCGACCTAATTGTGCTGGGTGGGTCACTATTTCAATCAATGGGCTCGACGGCAAAAATCTTTCAATGCCATTATGGTTTTCACCTTTTCGGATGCTAACAATAATTGCTCTGCCTTTGTAGCACAGCCAAAAAAACCAAAAAAAAAACAAAATGTAAGTAACTAAATGACAATGCTTTATTCGATGGGAACAAACTCACGAATTAAATGCTAGAACAAAGTCACAAAGTAAATTCTAAACAGAGATACAATAAAATAAATTGCAAACAAGGTCGAACACAGAAAAATAAATAGGAGGACCACACGTCATCCGATGAACACTCTCATTCATACCCTAGATTTACAGCTAATAGAATGTGGCAACACGTGGTGTACAACTTGACAATTGTGCCCACTTACATGAAGAAATGATTAGTTTTTTAGTCAAATCAACCAAGGACACATGTAGCACAGAGACCTTAATCTCTAGGAAATTGTGCAATTTTTTAGATCAATATTCTCAAAAAATTATCCAAGATAGTAAAAAATTGTTTCGATTACATTTTAAAAAATAGTATTTAAAAATATATTTTTAAGAAGAATTTAAAAAAAATTATTTATATATTTTTTATTAAAAATTTTGTTTAGTTATATGATTTCAAAAATAATTCTATAAAATTAAAAATAATAAAACTTATTTGAATTGAGTGTTTCATATAATTTTTTTGAGCAATGTTATTGAGATCTAATTTATTAACTTAATTTGTTGATCTAATTTATTATAATCTTTGAATTGACTATGGACTCCATCATACATTGAAACTTGATGTTAATCCAATATATTCAATGAAGTCACGTCATTAGATCAACAAATTATATTAAATTTTTAAGTTTAAATAGTATTTTCTAATTTTTTTAAATATATTAAACTTTATAAAACGTAAAAAAAATTCAGCCCTTTGTTGAAACAAATCTTGAAGCCACTGAAAAAAAATTTCAGCCCTCGAAGCATAATTTGAAACCGTTGAAAAAAAAAAAGATCTGAAGCAAATCCGAAGTAATCATTGGGAAAAAAATCAAGATAAAAAAAAATAGATTTAGTATACAAATACAATCATAAATCTAGTTTCGTTAGAGATCTGGTTTTGTCGTAGAGCTCTCAATCGTCAAAGAAAACGACCTCTAATCGCATGAGAAGACCCTTACGCCGGGGAAGGCGTTATGTGTGCATTCGAATTTGTTTTTATGACGTGTGTGTGTATTTGAACGAATCAAAGTTGAAGCGGAGAGAGAAGAAAGTCGGAGAGAGAGAAATACCAAAAAATAATTTTTTATATTAGGACTTGTTTTGCTAATAAAGGGTTCGAAAGGGAGACTCACTAAAAGACAGTTGATGTTCGTACTTTTAAATTTTTCATTCTTTTGTCTTCAAAACATCCTAAAATATTCCAAAACATCTTTTGGTTATTCCTTAAAATCAACCCTTTGTTCTCCATTTTATTCCGAAAATTGTTCCCAAAAATTTCTTTCTAAACAAATTTTCACTAATTTTTTGTATTACAAAACAAACAACCTGTTTTGGATCCAAATAGGCTCTAAATTTCCATATCCGTTTTCAAATTGTGTCTGCTGAGCACTTTCTGACAAAAATTTGGAAACTTGGAAGTTATGCTAGCTTTGAGGATGGTAATTTGGCTAACGTTGCTTGGCCAACGTGGAAAGCGTATAATTTTTTTTAATTTTTTAAAGTTAAGTTATAATTTTTTTAAGTTAAGTTAGAACTTGTACAAGATATGATCGACTCTAAAATATTATGATCGATCAGGGAATTGATAGTGAAATATATTTAATGATAGAATCTATTGTAACATTTAATGCATGAGACTGTTGACGTCTCGTATAATTTGCACATGATAGATTTAACTTCTATTTGATTAATAAATTTTATTTTTGATATCTAAAATGATGTCAAATTAATCACAAATGAAGATTTGCATCGATAGACATACCTTATCCTCATGCTCGAAGTACTTGCAACTCATGTACTTTAATTTATGACAGAAAATTGAACGACAATCTGAACGAAGTTCACATTACTATCAATTCATAAACATTGAAGGTGCAAATTAAGATTTTTAATATTTAAGAGTGTAAATTGAGACTCGAAACATCTTTCGAAATACAAAGTGAGATTAGCCCTACTTATTTTTAGATAGGTAGATTTTCAGACTCAAAACTACTATGTATGTCTTGAACGAATGAGTACTTATCATCGTTGCAGCTCCGATGTCTATTAACACCTCATTGACTATCACCTAATTCATCCATTTCACCAAATACAGAATAAAGGAAACTTTGTCACTCTATAATAGGGGGAAAAAAACAAAACAAAACAGAAGGATCTTAAGAGTAGGATTAGAAGGTTTTGCTTCTAATTAATCTTTTGGAAATTTTGCTTCATTTCAATTGATCTTGCATCTTAATGAATTGCTAAGAAATCAGAATAGACATGACATAGCTGCTCATCTTTACTGTGTGTTCATGCACAGTACTACGTAAAAAAAAAAATCGGATGTTCGTCACCCAAGTTTTGAATTTGCCTTAAAAGTTGTTTATGCAGGTAATTTTATGTTTAGGGGAACTTGGAAAGTGATGTTTTGGCTTCAATCAATGTCGTGCCTCTCTTGTTTATCCTGACCCCAGTCAGTTTTCTGTACTACTGTGCATGAACAGGCACTTCTTACACCATTGAATTGTTAATAAAAGTTAGTTAGCCCACAATTTTACCATTGATTTTAATTTGGTCCCTTAACTTTTAATTATCCAAATTTAGTCCCTAAACTATCAATTTTGTCTCAATTAAATATTTTTATCCATTTTCACCATTAGATCAACGCTGAAATGAATTAGATTGGACTAGTTTTCAGTTGACATAACAATAAAAATTGATTGAATGACATAATTAAGAAAAAATTTATAATTGAAAGACTAAATTGAGACAATTAAAAATTTAAAGACTAAATTAAAACCGAAAATAAAGTTCAAATACTTAATTTTGGACTAAAGGACATGCCATGGTAATCGGGTATAAGGTTCTTAGTCAGTCAGTTACCTTCACATTGTGCATAATTAGAAGCCTTACAAAGCCTCTAGAGCAAATAATATTTTATAATTTCCATTTAGTCAATTGAAAATTTAAGATCTAAAACTTCAGGTCATTTTTCGAATAATTCCCCCCTCCAAACTTAATAATATTTTGTTGGTTCTTTTTTGTTTATATATATATATAACACGCACATATGACACAGCAGAACAAGGAACACAAAAAAAAAATACTATTTTTAAGTATCTATATCTATACTGGTTTATAAAACTGGCTAACAATGAAAAACTTTTGATTTTCTTTTATCCTCAATTAATATAATAAGAGCAATGTTACATGAATTTAAAAAGTAGACTTAAAAATCAAGCTTGATAATTACAACCATTGATTTCACTGTGGGTCCTAGCATTTATTGGGACTCACTACCTATTCAATAGTTGAGATTATCAAGTTTGATTTTTAAGTCTACTTTTTAAGTCTATCTAGTATTACTTATATAATAAAGTCCATTATATATCTCAAACCCTTTAAACTTCTTAAATTAAATACATAAACCTATCATATTTCATGATCTTCTAAAATTAATTACATTCACAAACATATATATCTATACTATTTATAACACTAATTTATTTTTTACTGCCAATTATGTCCTATTGCATCATTTAACCTCCCTTCAATATTATATTATCTATCTATCTATCTATCTATTATCTCAATACTTGTGCAAAACTTTTGATTGATAATAATTTCCTTAAAACATGCTAATAATCAAATAATATCCTTTTGGTATGATCTATCTCAATACTCGTGCAAAACTTTTGACTGATAATAATTTCCTTAAAACATTCTAACAATCAAATAATATCATTTTGTTGTGATTTTTCATTGGGCCAAAATTCTCTCTTTTGAGTTATTGTCAATTAAAAGTGCACAACTCTTATAGAACCCTTGGAGTTCCATAACTCCAAGACATGGAATGGTGAGAAGTTGATTGGTTTACCAAACTTATAAATCGATTTTTGTAAAGCATACCTAGATATTATTTGAAGATTTCAGCTAAAACATCACCATGATGGAGCCCAAGACAAAGGTTTTCCCTCTCCATTTGCAGCCACTAACCAAACCAGATATTTCTAATTTTTTTTTGTTTTGTCATCTTTATCATTCTGTATTGATGTAATATGTATGTCATGACACTACCTTTATTCCAAATTATCACAAGCTTTCTCTTGGTGTCATATTATATCTTTTAATTGGCTAATCACCATAATTTATGTTCTTCATGAGTATGAGCACTTTGTGTTTCCAGATTTCAGCTAAAAAATTGAAATTATCATTTTTATATTGTGGGTGATATTTAATTAATTGTATGTGTATGTTTTAAGGCTTCCCATGTGACATATCTCTAATCCCATCAGGTGACTAAATGAAAATACAAGTTTTACAAATCATTTGTTCTCTAT